TCTGAACTTTACTGTTATTGAGCAAGTATTATATTTTGAGTGTATCCGAATTTTTCTGAAATAATTTAAAATATAAGTTGAGGTGAACAGAGTCGTAATTGTTAATAACAGGTTAATGGTTAAATTTTACTTTGTAATTGTTTTTGTTTTTGTGAAGTATTTTGTTCAATAGCTGCAGCATGTGATGACAGTGCGCATCCTGGGGATTTAGCTACGGCTCTGTAAAGCCATTGCTAATTTCATTAACAAGTATTGATAAAGTGGAAAATCTTTGTTGATTGGTAGATTCAGAGTTGAAATTTGTTTACTTTTTGATATATAAAAGTAATTAATTAGCAATTAAATCTTTTATAAGTCAATATTGCTAATTTCATTAGGTATTATTGATGAATGGAAAAAGTATTGCTGATTGGTAGATTCTGAGTTATATTAAAGTATTTAGAAAAATAAGTTAGATAAATAAAAGTAATACTCCTGAAATTTAATCTTTCGTAAGTCAACATTGATCTAAAATTTGATATTAGGCACGTGATAAAAGGTCATGCTACTTCGATATGTCCTACCCAATCTTAGTAAATGGTGCAAAACACTTGAATAGATTATTGTACAGTAAATTGTTGTTGGACACCAATTGATGCTTTGGATGGTATTATTTAGTAATTGACTGCAAGTATTTGTAATGTTTTTATAAGTAGTGCTTCTCGGTGCTATATTTAATAAGTGATATTAAAAGGTGAATAAGAGTTGTAACAGACAAGGTAATTAGAAAAGCAGCTTTGGAATCTCAACTAGGGACTTAGCCCCATGATGTAAAGGTTGCACAAAGAATATCCTCTTCTGTACTGCTTTATGATAAGGTCTTTGGGACTGTTTGCTTCTATAATTAGGTTGATCTGGATTTTGTGCTAGGAAAAGCTTCAAAGCTTGGATAAAAGTTTAGTACATTGATTTGTAGGCTTTTGTATATTGTAGGGGAACACTACGCCTCCTGATTACCTTACTGAAAGTGAGGTCATTTCCCTCATGGAAAAGCATGGGATTGGTACAGATGCATCTATTCCTGTACACATCAATAACATATGTGAGCGAAATTATGTACAGGTCAATATCACTCCCTGTGAATCTCTTTGATAATTATTATGTACTGTAATTGATACATTAATCATTTCTATTCCATTATATGTTTCAAAATCTAGGTGCAAAGTGGACGGAGGTTGGTTCCTACTGCGTTAGGTGTCACTCTTATTAGAGGTTACCAGTGCACTGATCCAGATCTTTGTCTGCCAGACATTCGGAGCTTTATCGAACATCAGATTACTCTAATAGCAAAGGGGCAAGCAGATCATTCACTTGTTGTGAAGCATGTTATTGAACAATTTACGCAGAAGTTTGTCTATTTTGTCAAGCAGGTGAGTGTACTTTTCTTTTCATCCTATTACCTTTGATTTTGGAGAGATGGAACCAAGAATAGAGAATCTTCATCTAGACAGGGAAAATCTGATTAAGACTTGGGCACATATTAAATTGTATGTAATAAAGATGGAGGGGTAATAACTCATATAAACAAAATAGCCACATACACACTAACTAGTAGTCATGGTGCCTATCTTTGTTCTCCTGCCAAGCTTTAGAAAAAGGGAGAAAGGCAACTGCCATTCTACTTTTTTCTATGAAGGTGGTGAACCTGATCTCTATAAAATAAGATTTCTATAGAGCGCTTGAGTGGGTACTCTTGAAGCAATTTCTGTATCCTTGCTGCTTCATGTAGGGACCATGTGCAAAAGTGTAATCAGGTATTTCTAATTTGGTTTTGTTTTTGGTCATATTTAGGCGAATCATTTGGTTCGAACTTCTGTTCAAGCCAGTTCTGTTTTTACTCTTTTTTTTTTTTTTTTTTTTTTTTTTGAAATCAGCTTAGTGATTTTGTGATAAATATCTTAGCTTTTTGTAACCTGATGCAGATTGAACACATGGATGCACTATTTGAAGCCCAATTTTCTCCGCTTTCAGAATCAGGGCGTGCGTTGAGTAAATGTGGGAAATGCGCAAGGTATATGAAGTACATTTCTCCACAACCACAACGTCTATATTGCAATACTTGTGAGGACGTGTACTATCTTCCTCAAAAAGGCGCAATTAAGGTTTTATTTCTAATTCCCTTCTGCAGTGTACTAAATTTGTTGTAAATTCTCTTATCTTTCTCTGCTCTCTTTTTCTTAGGGTAGTTAGTGAGATCCCTAACCCTTTCAAATTAGATTTGTGCAAGGTTTGGTGTCAACAAAGGTTTAAAAAGAAAGGGAGAAGGGAGGAAGAGGGGGGGGGGGGGGGGTCCAACCTACACAAAATATGGTATTCCCAAGGGTGTGTTAGGGGTAGCCAAAGTGTCCAACCGAATTTATAAACAATCGATATGAAGTGTCAAAGGTCACGAACTCCGCACTTCCCTCTAGAAAGCTAGGGTGGACGAGTTAAGTCTATAAAGCTTTCCTCTCTTTTCTGCTATTGTTTTGTTTGTGCATCATGGATGGATTTATTGTTAAGTACTCATATCTCAAGTCAATTTCTTTTTTCTCGTTACTTGTTTGAGCCTGAATATTCATTTCCTTTGTTACTTCGTATCTTATTTCTGTTTCTGTGTTGTTTGCTTTGTAGCTGTACAAGGAAATTGTTTGCCCTTTGGACAATTTTGAGCTCTTGCTCTTTTCCATGCCTGGTCCAGAAGGCAAATCATTTCCCCTATGCCCTTACTGCTACAACAACCCTCCATTCGAAGGTGTAGACAAACTCTTTGGTGCACCCAAGACTGGTCCTGGCAAGTTGGGAAAAGGTTCTGGGATGCCTTGCTTCCTCTGCCCCCATCCTACATGTCCGCATTCTTTGATAGCTCAAGGTGTTTGTGCATGCCCAGAGTGCAGTGGTACGCTTGTCCTAGACCCTGTCAGTGCTCCCAAGTGGCGACTTTACTGTAATATGTGCAACTGTCTTGTCTTTCTACCCCAAGGTGCTCACCGTATCTCAACAACCAAAGAGCGGTGCCATGACTGCGAGTCTACTATCATAGAAGTTGACTTTAATAAGAATAACACACCTTTGGCAGATGGAGCTACCTTGCATGCAGGATGCATTCTTTGTGATGAGCTCCTTCATTCACTGATCGAAATGAAGCATGGGAAATCTTCTTTCAGGCGATTTGGAGGAAGAGGAAGGGGAAGGGGTAGGGGAAGAGGACGAGGACGAGGTGGAAGGAAGGACATTGATCCCAAAATGAGTTTCCGGGATTTCTGAGACATTAATCTCTTGTAATTTACAATAAAATTTCTTTTCCCTATCGCTAGTCTGTTTTAACTTGCAGAATATAGTTTCCTTAATCAGGGAAAGTTTATTTGTAATTTGTAATGCATGTAATCTTTTTGATCAAATTTTGTTTATCTTTTTCAGACTGTTCATGAATCCGAATTGATACGAATCTGGTAATACTTTCATTGTCCTTTCAGGAGGCTAATACCAAGAAATGTGCATTCTAATGTCGAACCACAAATTGAGGCGTAGCTTACTGTGTAATTGTGTGTTCCTGTGTTTGAGCTATTGCTGACTTAGAATGTGGAGCATGAAGAACAAAAAATATTACGGCCGACAGTTCTCTTGTAAACTCTTAAGGGAGAGAGTTAATGCAGGCTACACCGCCCACGCTAGTATAGAGTGAAATAGAAATAAACTTGGAAAACTTATGTGACACTAAAAGGTGAAAGATCATAAAGGAAACTACGCATTATAAAGTGTAAATTAAAGAACGAAAATGCTACTATAGTTGATTAATATTTTTATATATAGATGTTTAAATGGCTTGATTTGGTGTTTGATTAGGATAGCAAGTGAAGTGATGTTTAGACGATGTTGATTACACTCGTTCACAAGGCATGTGGCCTATGTCTGGAACAATTAATCTTTGACATGTACCATCAATAATAATACTGATTCTGATTAGAAGACCAACGGCGCATATACCGTGCAGTCGTGCACCTAAGAATATAGGCAATGCTGGTGTAAGTGGATACGCGTGTTCTCTATAGCTCCTTATTCTAGAATCCTAATAAAGCATCATTCTTAGTGCTCCCGGATGCATATAGTAATTTGTAGATATCTTATGAAAATTGAATGTGCTCGTGTTGGTGGATATTTAGAATGCGCTAGCAAAGCACCATTCTCAATAATATAATCCTGGTTCAATGTAATAATTTGTGGATTATTTTATGAAAATTGAAAATCTTGCTCGCATGTAAGTGATTAGTACTTTCAAAACATGCTTAGACGAAATGATTTCAAATTATGCATTATGCTATTCTAGATTACCATTTTGAGCACCAAACAATTATGGAAGGGACTCAGAGACTCATTTAGATTTTTCCATCAAAAGTTTAATAATTGTTAATAAGATGATAATTGCTTGAAAAAATGGATAATATAAAGCGCACCTTTGAGAAATAGCAAATTAGTGTACAACGCATGCGATTAACAAAGATGCTAATTAGTCTTGCAAAAGCAACTCATGATGTAGTGTTGCGGTTAACCAAGACATGTATGCACGCCTCATATAAACAGGGTTTTGGGGTGATTAAGTATTTCAGGTAAATAATGTCTTAATAAAGAGATTTCGAGATTTTACAAAAATATTAGGGATGATATATAAATCTCAAAAACGAGCCAAACAATGAAACAATCCAATCTCAGCAGCCTATTATTGTGTTCTCGGTGTATATAAGGGTGCTTAAGAATTTTAATGCTTGAAAACGATGTATTTTTAGAACACAAATCCGAGTATCCAATATGTATTGTGACTTTGCCTTGATCATGCTCTCAATTTCAATAATACAAATTATATACTACTAAAAAAAAACTAGCATTTAGCCATTAAAAAAGAAAAAGAAGAGGCTAACAGGCTGCACAAACATTCAACATGCAAGTCAGAGAATTAAAAATGAAAGAGATCAATCTGACAATAATTTCCAACAAAAACGTGGTTACCTCACATTTCTTAGCTGTTTGTAATATGGAAAAATAAATAAGAATTAAAAATTGATCATATACAATAATATGATCCCTCAAATAGGGCAAGAACAAAGTTAAGAATCAGCACCTTAATTTTGGGCTGAGGGATGTCATGCATCTTTTACTATACCACTCAAATATGATTTGGAATTTATAATGTTTCAAGTACAAAACTTTGATATTGATATAGATTTTTAAAAAAATAATAATTAAGGATAAAAAAGCACTGACTGTAGGAAAAAACAATTCAGTGTATTTCCGAGTGCAGACAATTTTGTGCCCGCGAAAATTCACCTAGAACAACAGGAATTAAAGCCTTGGTTTTGCGTCTTTTCATCATTAACAATGCTTACCCTATTAAGAGATAACTGAGCTTTATAAGAGTCTGAATTGAGAACTCTCCTGCTCACACTGTTGTATATCTCCTTGATCACCATCTCAAAAGCCATCCTCACATTAGTCGAGTCTTTTGCAGATGTCTCCATAAAGAAAAGTCCGTGCTCTTCAGCAAGGTTCTTGCCTTCTTCGATGCTTACTGACCTTATGTTGTCCAAGTCGCTTTTATTTCCCACAAGCATTCGTGCTACTGTTGTATCAGAATGAGCTGCACAGGAATCCACAATGGTCATGTCTTGAGACAAAAATTAGAATGGTTCTGTAGATAGGAACGACAGCTAAGCTAAGCTAAAACACACATCTAGGAAGAAATTGTATTGGTGGCATAAACTTCTAAACTAATGTCAGTATAATTGAAAGTAGCCGTTTGGTTAGATGTAGGATGTACTCTCTATCACTTTTCAGGTTCTAATTCCCATGAATTTACATTACCAGAAGTTGTTTGATTGAATGAACACAGGAAGTCTTCTACTTCTACTAAACTTACATAGAATATGCAACAACCACTGATGGGAAGAAGAATTACCCATGTGTTTGTCAGCCAACATCAGACAATTTTATTTATATCTAGAAGACCAAGTACGCAACACCCTCCCATGTCAGCTAGCATCAACTATTGAGTGAGATAGGAAGACTAGAGTTCAAGATACTAGTGTTAACGGAATCTTTAGCTAAGAGTTCAGTGAACCCCGTCCATGAGATAGTCCAAAGTCTTAAGTGAAATATGCTCTATCAGCTGTTTATTGTTTCCCTTTTCGTATGGTGAGTGGCTGGGGTATAGAGGTTGTGCAAGGCAGAAAGACCAATGTATGCTCACAGTGCCAAGTTCACAGTGTTTCGCAAAATCCTACGGTCTCTAAAGACACTAGCTAAGCTACTTGAGAGTTGAGATCAACCAAGAATGTAGATGAATACCAGATCTACTAAAGTTTTAATCTGGAGTAGACAATCAATGATGAAAATGCCAATAATCAGCACAAACAGCAGAACCTAGGAAATGCAAAATGCTTTGAGAGTGACCACATTGATCCTTACCACTCTAGCTGTTCCTCGATACTAGGTAAAGGTCACTTGAAATGGAGGATGATGGAACACATAACGCGGTAACCCCAATCTAAGGAGAAAGTAGAACTAAACTGATGTCAAGTTTGGTGGATTTAGATTTAGTTATCACACATTTACCAACAATCAAGCTCCTCATCTTGAAGAATTAGAGAGTTCAAAAGCAGAATCTGTTATTACTCATCTGTAAGTCCCAAATCGCCACAGACGAACTTTCTAAGCAGTTCATAAAAATTTCCTAAATTTATGTCCAAGGACATTTACAAATTAAGTGATTGCTTATCATAATCCATAAAGGTAGTGTCGGTACAAAAATGATGGCTTTTCAATATTCATGTTGTTCAATTAGTTTCTCCCATTGAAATACAATGAGATCATCAATCCTAATCATCACACATAAAGTAAAAGCCGAATCTTCAAATGATATTCCAATATAAACTCAGGAAATTCATATTCAACAACCATTACAAGAAAACAAAAGCAATACATAAATTAAAAGCAGCAAAAGCCAGCTACCCCAACCACTTGCATTTTGCTAATTAATATCCTTTACAAAAATCCCAAATTTAATATTCAGGTACTTTTATTTTTCCAATCCCTAATTAATGCTTAACAATGTCTTCAACAAAATATAAAAAAGAGAACTTTCTTAAAATCCCAGATCAATTAGCCAAACAAATGAGCAAACCCCGGAAATATTCAAGCAAATCTCCAAAATAACACAACTTTTTTAAAAACAACAAAATTCAGATCATTTAACAAAAAGATGTCAACTTTGAACTAAATTCAGCAACATAAAATCCAATGCTAACCCAAAAATCTAAAAAACACAACAATCACCAAAATTTCACCAAATCTGATGCAACAACATAAAAACCCACAAAACATCAACCCAAAACACACAAAAATCATCAACAAACCAGATCAATAAACACATCAAAAAAGCAACCCATCAACCAAAAAACCCAAAAATAAATATTCAGAAAAATTGAAAAAATAAAAAAATAAAAAAAATTCAACAACTTACTGGTAAGTTCATCAAGCCAGCGACCAATACTATCAAAAGTAGTTCTGCGAGAAATATCATAAACAAGAAGAGCACCAACAGCACCTCTATAATAAGCAGAAGTAACAGCTCTAAATCTTTCTTGACCAGCAGTATCCCAAATCTGAGCTTTTACCTCTTTTCCTTCAATTTCCATACTTTGTGTTTGAAATTCCACACCAATTGTTGCTTTTGAATGCATATTAAACTCATTTCTTGCATATCTAGATAACAAATTAGATTTACCAACAGCTGAATCACCAATTATTACAATCTTGAAGAGGTATTCTTCTGCTTCATCATCTGAAGACATTGTGGCTTAAAAACAGGGGAAATTAGGGATTTAGTGGGGTTAGATTTGATTTATGAAGAAAATGTGGAGATTTTGGGGAATTGGGTATTGGAAAAGGAGAGATTTTGGGAAGTGGGTTTGTGTTAGATTTTGGAAAGAAGGAGAAATGGAGGAGGAAAGAGAAGAGAGAAAACAGGGGAGTGGACCTTTTTAAAGAGGGTTGTCTATGTAAGAAAGAGGTGCTTTTGAGGGGGAGTTTAACTGTTGAAATTGATTGTGTTTATATTACATGCGCAAAATTTTGGTTGTGTGGAGGGGTGGATTAAACATACGGCGTAGTGTGGAAAATTTTACGTGGTGATCTTGGATATAGGGTACATTCATTTTAGCTTAATTTTAGTTAATTTCAATTCAATTCAGTTTAACTCCTAATTTTCTTCTCTTGTAAATTTTATTTCAACTCAGTTCATTTCAATTCAATTCACCTCAGTTCAGTTTATGTGAATATATCCTTAATGTGTTTTTGCAATATAACTCTATAATTTATGGGAAAATTTTAAAATAATGTCATCTATTTAATTATTTTCTGGTAGTCTTAACTTATAACATTGTTAGTGTCCTTAGTAAGCATATTAATTTTAGGAAAAATTGTGAGGAACTACACGCTTAATAGGGGTATTTGGAAACAACTACCCACTAAAATTTTTTATCAAAAAAACTACCCTCTAAATTTAAAAAGTTAGAGTAGCACTACCGATTTGCATTTTCCGGCGAAAAAGTCCGGCGTGTGGGGCCCACTTTTTCAATTTTTCTTCTGAAAATCCCTAATTAAAGAAGTCAAAATAAGTAGGGTATGTAATTCATAGGTAATTCTTCTCTTTTAATCCATTATTTATGAATTTTGATGTTAGGGTGTAATGATTAGAAAAATTGGGGTTCTTAGAAATTGGGGATAATTTGAAATTGGTTGAATTTGCTGCTTTTAATTCAAATTGGTTATCCTAGGGTTACGAATTAAGGTCCAATTTGTCATTGCATCGTGTCTTTTCGGGGAAAAATTTAAAAAGTCGGCCCACGCACGGACATTCTCGCCGGAAAATGCAAATGGGTAGTGCTACTCTAACTTTTTAAATTTAGGGGGTAGTTTTTTTGATAAAATTTTTTAGTGGGTAGTTGTTTCCAAATACCCCTATTAAGCGTGTAGTTCTTGACAAATTTTCCTTAATATTATTATATCGCATATAAATATTTTGGTGTAAAGAGAGGCACAAAAGATAGTAATGTAAGTCCTTGATTTTGGATACCATCACTATACATTAACCAAGTTATAGTTGACATCTACTAATAAAAAAGGTGTGTCCAAAAAAACCTAAGATCATGTACAAAACTCGACAATTAAGTAAAATGTTGACTAAGTGTTTGTTCTCTTACGTTGAAATTCAGTTCAGTTCAGTTCAGTTCAACTCAGTTCAGTTCAGCTCAGTTCAGTTCAGTTCAGCTCAGTTCAGTTCAGTTCAGTCCAACTCCTAATTTCCTTCTCTTATAAAATATTCATTTCAATTCAGTTCAGTTCAGCTCAGTTCAATTCAGCTGAGTTCAGTCAATGAGAACAGGGCCTAAGCATATCAATCTAAACTTGATGCAATGGATGTGTGGTTTCGGGCCATGCTTGGACCATCCTTTTGAATATCGAGGCATAGTACTTAGCTCTAAGTCTCTAAAGCCTTGATTGTGGCTCAACCCTACCCCATACCAAATTACTAATACTTCGTAAAATTCTCTTATGTTATCTGAAATATATTTCTAATATTGTTTAGAAAAACATTGTGAATCATATACTTCGTATTGTTTTAACGGTTTATATTCTTATAGATTAACCTATATGAATATTGAAAAAAACAAAAAAACAAAAAAAAATTATTTGATCCGACTAACCGAAATACATTATTAACACTGGTCGAAAAATAAGAATTTGATACAATCTGAAAAATGGAGTAAATGATAGAGGCGCGTGAGACATTAGCAAGTGATTAGAGTACATGTACTATGTTATTAATGGAGTCACACTTGAGTTTCTTCTATTCTTTAAGAGATTAGAGTATATGTAACTGTTTAATGGTGTCACACTTGACTGTCTTTAATTCTTCTTCTACTGCAATATCTGTATTTAAATTAAATGGGGTTGCAAAATAAAATATGAAAAGAGGGGATTTTAATGTTTGAGTTTGACCCATCTCTAGTCTGGTTGTTGATGAGTGTGACCTGCACGACCATCCTCGTCAGCATAGTAATTTCGTAGTTATTTGTAAAAAAACATGATGTGGCAATTAACTAGTTTAGTTGATTAAAGTTTTGAAAGGTGGTATTCAAGAAAATAACGTAGATCAAATTTCGTCTATGTTGTTTGTTTTCATGACTCACTCTATGCCAAAAAAAATACAAGTATATGTGAATGTGATAAATGTATGTTTAATTATACTTAAGAGTAGTCATCAACCTTTTGAGATTTATTGAGCAACTACGTACATTCAATCAATATCTTTTTGTAGGGATCGGAAGGGGTCACTACGACATCCACAATGTCACACAACCAAGACAATCAACCCAAATTCAATCCAAACAAACCAAATTCTCACACAACCAATATAACACAACCAAGACAACAATAAGGCAGTAGCAAAATGATATTAACACCAATAATAATCGGAAGAAAACAACAATAATCAACACACACGGATTATACGTGGAAAACCCCTTCGATGTGAAAGATAAAAACCACGGGACCGTTTAAGGAGTCCACCCTAGCTTCTCTATTGATAATTGAGGGTAAAATAAACCCAAATCTGTCTACAAAATGTTTAACAACCCACCAACAACAACAAACAATAAGAGATCGAAATTAGAGAGCAAAAGAGTAGAATTCACCCAAAAAAACAACAGTTCTGTTCGAAGCAGATTCTGACCACTTTTGGCATTGTACAATAATCAAAATTCTTAGAGGGTCTTTTATCTAATTCAATATAATATGTATTCATTAAGTTTTGATTTTCTATTTTATATGTTCTATTTTAAAGGAAAAAAAGAATCATATGTCCAATCCTACTAGTAGTGCTATTAGAAACTAACACCTCATTTCATTCATGATCTCTACTTACAGGCTTCTAAATGAATCACTTGAACAATAGACACTCAAAGTGTTTATCATTTCAATCAATTAAACATTTTCAATTCAAATACTCCGTCGAAAAGATGTCCGATTGACCAAACATGTACCCACTCGGCCAGTCTAGGAATCTAGGATATGTTCATATAACCATATTTCTATATTGAAGTACTTTGAATATAGATCATGAAGTAGAGAAGTCTTGTATTGGCTTTACATCCAAGAAATTTGGGTAACCCAATATTAATCTTAATATCAACTTAAACATAAAATGGATGACACAGAAAAAATGGGTCCATACTCCATATCTCAAATACCACCATTTTTTGTGGGCACAAAAAATACACATAGCTTGAAAACACTAATCTTTTTATTCATCACCACCAAAAAAGAAAAGAAAAAGAAAAATAGACCCTATTCAAGCTCACTCTAATGGCACTAACCCAATAAACCCAGAAAATCTATAGTTTTCACAACCCAAAAAAAAAACACTGTAATCAAGAAATGCCAATTTTAAATGTATCATCTTTAGGAGTAGGCTCATTAACAAACCTTTGCTTTCATTCACAAAATATAGCCAATGATTCAATTACAAGTTCTTGTTCCTTATCTTATGTTTCATATAATTTCACAAATAACAATAATATTAATCTCTTGAATTTGTACCGTAAATCTGGAATTAATAGATACCCAATTCAAGCTGCTCCAACTAATGCTTCTTCTGAAGCTCAAATTGATGAAAATTTGGATGATTCTACTTTGTCTCTTGAACCCCCTCGTCCAATTCGGGTGAGTTTTATTTCAGCTTTTCTCAATTTATGTTCTAATTTTTGCTTTTGTTGTGGATATTTGATAGAAAAGATTGCAACTTTTTAATTTTATTTTTGTGGGGTTTTTGAATTTTACAATGAATTTGCTAATTAAAGTTTCAATTTTAGTTTGTACCCACTTTCAGTTTGTTTAACTTAGCTAATTGGCATTCTCTTATTGTATAATGATCGATAATTATTAGTCTGATTGGATGTACCAAGATATATTGTAGATGATATGTAGAATTATGGTGTGTTTAGGTCTTTAGGATGGTGCTATGGTTTGATTATTGAGAGCTAAAGAGTATTAGAATATAGATTGTTGTACTTGAGTTGTGTGAGTTGATGAACTTTACATGGCATTTAAAGTTAATCATGTTAGTTGATTTTTAGTTTTGACTGTAAAGAAGTTCAAATATTCAATATTCTTTGGCTTTTGGATTGTGATGGTATATATTTAGAAGAATTATGGAGTATTAAAAACTTTGCGCCTTTCGGTTATGGTAAAGTAGCAACATCACTACCCTTAAGAGTCTATTTCGAGGAATGTTAATGTTAAAGCTTCTTTTAACCCCTCTTGAGTGATTAATTAATCTGGATTTGGATGCTTGTTTTGTTTCTATATGCTAATGCATCTATTGCTATGAAGAAATAGAGGCCTGCTGACTGGGAAGCAGCTAAGAAGTATAAAGAAACTGGATCTATCTACGAGGGAAGAGTAGAAGGCTTCAATAATGGTGGCTTGCTAATTCGTTTCTATTCGCTTGTCGGATTTCTTCCTTTTCCACAGTTGAGTCCATCATATTCTAGTGAAGGTACTTCACTTTCTTTGTTCTGTATGACTTTGCCCTTTGTTCTGCACACGGACTGTTGACACATTCTTTAATCAATTTTGCTTTGAATTATGAAGAAATTGAATCTTTGTTTGATTTTATCATGGTTTGGATTATTTCCAGTCTGTAATTGCTCCGTTGTTGGCTACTCATACTGTAGAAGTTTATCGGCCTTTCAATATTATATTCGCTTGTTATCAATTTTAATATGCATTCTTTATATCATATGGTTCGTTTGTCGATGACTACACGGAATAATCAAATTTGGTTCATGTAGCCTACCCCTCTTATGGGATTAAGGCTTTGATTGTTTGGTATCATTTAGTTCCTTATGACGATTCATGTTAGCCGACCCTAAATCATTTTGGGACTGAGGTTTTGTTGTTGCTGTTGTTGTCATCAATTTTAATATGTTACTGGTTAAATTTTCTCCTTAGTTCATAACAATGATATCTGTTACATCTGAAACAATGAAATGGTCTATAGTTAATCTGTGCTACCAATGTGCAAGGAAGCCATGAATGAAGTAATAAAATGGTCTACAGTTACTTATTGCTGACAGTTTGTCGCTGTTGTTTACGCGAACACTTTCACATTGTTGAAAAGCATGGATATTTGGTTGCCATGATGGATATGTGACGAGTATGGTTACTTTCAGTAATTATATTGCTGACGGCTGACATTTGATGCAGAACCAAATAAGACAATACAACAGATTGCAAGAGGACTTATTGGGTCTGTCATCTACATGAAGGTAACTAATATAAGCATTTCATTCTAGAAACCTTCGTGTTTCTGATCTTGTCCTTTTAAGCCATGAGTAAAGTTTGGGTGCATCTATGGTCACATAATGTACTGGAGTAAAGATTGATCCTCAAAACTTGAATCTTGTAGAGGCGCAAGTTGAGCCTTCTTAATGTCTGCCTACCAAACTTATGGAATGTTTCTATCATAATGTTTTGAACTGGCTTATTTTGCCATATAAGAATAGTTTATGTTTTCAAACCCTCGTAGGATATGTTATCAAACTTTTATCTGCCATTGTTGGAATAGGTGATTGAGGTAGATGAAGATAGTAAGAAATTGATATTCTCTGAGAAGGAGGCCACTTGGTCAAAGTACTCTGAGAAAATCAAAGAAGGGGATATCTTCGAGGCAAGAGTCGGTGTGGTTGAGGACTATGGGGCCTTTCTCAATCTGCGCTTCCCTGATGGTATATATATGCTTGAAAATGTTGTTACTGTGATTTTTTTTTTTTTTTTTTTTTTTTTTTTTGGCATCCTGATGTATACAACTTATATTATGCAGGCAAATACCATCTTACTGGCTTAGTACATGTTTCGGAAGTTTCATGGGATTATGTTCAAGATGTCAGGGATGTATTAAGAGTGGGTGATGTTGTAAGAGTAAAAATTGTTAACATTGACAGGTAAAAATTACTATAAGTATATAACAATCTGCTAGTAGTGTCACTTAGGAGGCTTGGATAGTGGCTTGCTAGAATTTGATAATCTTGGTAGTAAATAATATTTGGCATCTCCATGTTTTGTGGCTGTTTATCTAATTATTCTTCTTTCCTGGTTGAATATCTGGAGGTGAAGACTTATGTTCGACATTGGTTAGGTTGCTTTGACAAAACTTGTCTGTGAACCTCATTCCCATTTTGTTTTTCCTTTTGTACCATATTTCATAAAAATGTTTTCTTTGGTCTTCCAAAAAACTTTACCTAGACTTGTCATTAGTATTGTTGCCTAATTCTGGACCTCCCTAGACTCCGACAAATAGTTAAATCTGCCTTGGGTTGTAGGGAGTGCTCATGTTGAATGAAAGTCTTGTTATTTTCTCTTTTGTTTGCACGATATTTCGAGTAATTCTACTGTATAGCTCTGTTCTCATAGAAGGTTAATGCAGGGAGAAATCAAGGATTACATTGTCAATCAGACAACTGGAGGAAGATCCATTGTTCGAGACCTTGGACAAAGTAATTCCTCAGGTACGATTTATGGTCACTTCAAATCACTATTTCATTCATTAAAGGATCAAGTTTGCCCCCTTCTGATTTTAAAGTAAAAGGTTCAATCTTTATTTTGAAACAGGATGGTACAAGTCCTGACTCTACAGGCACAAGTGAAAACTTTGATATTCAGCCACTTCCAGGGCTTGAGGAAATATTTAAGGAGTTGCTAGAGGAAGAGGGGTATTGTTTTCCAATCCTAGTTCTTTTTTTCTCAATAAGCGTTAATCCTTATTATTTACTAATTTAGTGATGCGTGAGCCAGCATCCCCCCACCACCCCCCCCCCCTGCGCCACCCTGTCCATTCTCTATAATGTGCAAATATTTCACTTATTGCTGCTATGTTGAGACTTTTCATTTCATCTCAAATACCCGTGTTGAATCCTAAACCCTATGGCACACGAGTATGGGGACTATGGACACTTGGCAGTCAGCACTTCATTTTGGACCGAAATAAAGGAAACTTTGCTCGAGTTACCAAGTTGATTAATGAATAGTATCTTGACACTCTGACGAGTAGACAGTATCCACTAAGTATCATAATTACTTAGTATGTTGCTCATTTTTTTTTCCGCTCATTTTTTTCCCCTTAATTTAGATAGTGAAAGTGTCTTACCCGCTTTATCTGCTACTTAATAATCACTGGCTAATTGGTCCTCTAATCATAAACTAAAGGTTACGTCAGCTGGCTTTCTTTGATCCTTATGAAATGCAAAGATCAGCTGTTAATTTGATTTATTAACATACAAATACAATATACTCCAATTCGCTTTCACCAGTTTAAGGCTTTGGTAGGATTGCATTTGTAGTTTTAATTTTTTCTAGTTTACTTGGGTGTCTTTGCACATCATTTTATTCTGCTGAATTTGCGACTATTATGTTACTATCCTTCAAGGATTACTTTTTTGTGCAGTATAAGTGATGTCAGAATCAGACGGCAAGGCTTTGAGAAACGGGTTGTTTCACAAGATCTCCAGCTCTGGCTTTCTAACGTTAGTGTCTTTTCTGTCAACTAATCTAAGTACTTAGCTGCGTTCTTTCATGTCATTGCCTAAGCCTTGAACTTCTCAATATCATTTGACAGGCACCAGCAATTGACAACCAGTACATCTTACTTGCTCGTGCTGGAAGACAGGTATGTGGTTTCACATCTTCATCTCCTTCCCAAATACATTTTTCCCAGCAATATATATTTTGTAGTGTAGACAATAAACTCCCATACCCCTAAATTTGCCATAGAACTTTAAAAACTTGCCTGTGCTTGTACTCAAGCATACCTGCACCGTGCATGGCCTATCAGACTATCGGTGTCACTTCTTCCCACCCAGCCACTCCACTCATGCAATACTTCTCATCTGATCACTGCTCAATGGTATGTTATAGCTTTTTTCTTCTCTTGCAGGTTCAGGAAATACAGATGACTACGTCTCTTGATCAGGAAGGTATCAAAAAAGCATTACAGCGGGTGCTTGAACGTGTTCCATGATTTCAAATGTCAACAATTTTCTCGCTATGTCTCTACCAGTGTACAGTACAGATATGAGCAACAAATTTAATAGTTTTTGAATCTACAGATCCTTCCCAAATATGTTACTCAATGTGTTCATTGATCCTATACGGTTAATCGGTATATACGGTGTGCTATGTCATGTCAGAAAATGAAGGGAAGCCAAAAGGGAGAAAGAGAGATTGTAATTCATACTATTGACATCAACAAAATTTTAAAATTTTTTTAATGTTACTTTCCCTTGCAAATCTTGTCTAATTATAAAGGGGCTTCTTTGGAAAGAAAAACCTGATTTTGTCTGTCTTATGACTGGGTTATCATGGCTCTTGTTATAAGTTCGTAAGATTACTTCATTCATGAATTATTTTACTCTTCAACAATGGCTAAGATGTATGATGCTGAAAAAATGATGCTAGTGTAACCTACGTAGCATTTGGTTTAGAAAAAAATGATGCTGCTTGGGTAATTTTCATAAAAATAACGCAATATTTTTTTTTATATAAGCACCAGAGCTATTCAATTATGAGTCTTTGATTATTCAAGTCTAAAATGAGGGCGTTAGTATGTAAAATGAGGGTGACATTTAACAACTATGTATGACTGCAGTATCAATAGCAACGCACTTTAAGGTAACATACACAATGTTGGTTTAATTAGAAGCCAACATTATTGATACTAGAGCTGTCAATTCGGATAAACGGGTCGGGTTTGGGTCGGGTAAGAGTGGATCGGGTCAACTCAGATTAATTCCATAACCTATGCGGGTCAGGTTTGGTTAGATCATGCTTGAGTCGGGTCACGTCGGGTCATACTTCTTATCGGGTTTAGGTCGGGTTAATACAGGTCGGGTTACATTCGGGTCGGGTGAACAATAGGTCGGTTTTAATTCGGGTTTTCACAGGTTAGGGTGATTCTCGGGTTCGAGTCGGGTCCGGTTCAAGTCAAGAACTTGCGGATTTGAATCAGGTCGGGTCATTCTCGAGTTTGATTCGAGTTCGGTTCAAGTCAATAATTTGCGGATTATAATCAGGTCGGGTCATTTATAAGTTGGGTCATTCTCGAGTTCAAGTCAGGTTCGATTCAAGTCAATAATTTACGGGTTATAATCAAGTTGGGTCATTTCCAAGTCGGGTCATTCTCGGATTCAAGTCTGGTTATGTTCAAGTCAATCATTTGCAGGTTAAAATCAGGTCGGGTCATTTCCAAGTCAGGTCATATTCGAGTTCAACTAACTATAATTCTATAATTAGATGATTATCATTTTTATCAAGCTAATTATTTCCTCTAACTATAATATATATGGCAATATACTAGGGAACTATAGTCTATAATTTAGGAAGATAATTATCTCCTTTGACCATACAACAAATATATACGAGTACTATATTTAACTCTTAAATTTGAGGATGATGCTCCTATCTTTTGTTGGCTTGGACCGACTTGGTCTCCCAAGACAAAATGCTTTGATCAACAATAATAAGGTGGTCTAAATTGCATTTAAGGTGATTTGAAATCGGATCAGGAACAATTTGGATTGAATTTAGGTCGGGTCAATAATAAGTCGTGTTAATTTCGAGTCGGGTAAGTAACAGATCGGTTGAATTTTTGGGTTGGGTAAGTAATAGTTATGGTAAAATTCCGGTCGAGTCAATAACAATTCGGGTTGAATTTGGGTCAGGTCAATAACAAGTTGGGTTTGTAACAGGTCGGGTTAAATTCGGGTCGGGTTAGAAACGAGTCGGGTTGAATTCAGGTGAGTAACAAATCAGGTTAAATTTGGGCTTTAAAGGGATAAAACGGGTTTGAGTCAATTTCGGTTTAAGTCGAATTCGGTGCAAATTAATTAAATTGGCCATTGTAAACCGGTTAATCGGTGCAAGTTGTAAACCGGTAAATTGGCCGTTTAAAAGCAAATTGAATGGTTCCACACACCTAATTGGAATCCTGGAGGGTATTAGGGACCATGGTAAATATTTTGGCAATTTTTATTTCCGGACGAAAAAAAGTCAAAAAATTCCAAAATTGAAGGCTAATATCCACATTTTTTGAGAAATTTTGGAGGTTTTGGGGCCCGGTGTCGAAAAGTCTTGAAATTCTATGGGATACATCTTGGGGTCATATAATGCCGTTTGGAACCTTATATGATCATTATTTGTTGTCATAAATGTTCGTGGTAGGCTTAAAATAATGAAATCGATGCAAGTTGTAAACCGGTAAATTAGTCGTTTAAAGGCAAATTGGATGGTTCCACCCACCCAATTGGACTCCCGGAGGGTATTAGGGACCATGGTAAACATTTAGGAAATTTTTATTTCCGGACAAAAAAAATCAAAAAAATTCAAAATCGAAGGCTAATATCCACGTTTTTTGAGAAATTTTGGAGGTTTCGGGGCCCGGAGTAGAAAAGTATTAATATTTTAGGGGACACATCTCGGGGTCATATAATGCCGTTTGGAACCATATATGATCATTATATGTTGTCATAAATGTTCGTAGTATGCTTGAGTTAAATGAAAACCGTGCAAGTTGTAAATCAGTAACCAAAATGGCAGTTTAAAGGCAAATTAGATGGTTCCACCCACCCAATTGGACTCCCGGAGGGTATTAGGGACCATGGTAAAAATTTCGGCAATTTTTATTTCCGCAGGAAAAAAAGTCAGAAAATTCAAAAATTGAAGGCTAATATTCACGCTTTTTGAGAAATTTTGGAGGTTTCGGGGCCCGGTGTCGAAAAGTCTTGAAATTCTATGGGATACATCTCGGGGTCATATAATACCGTTTGGAACCATATATGATCATTATTTGTGGTCATAAATGTTCGAGGTAGGCTTGAGTTAATGAAATATGTGCAAGTTGTAAACCGGTAAATTGGTCGTTCAAAGGCAAATTAGATGGCTCCACCCACCTAATTGGACCCCCGGAGGGAATTAGAGACCATGGTAAACATTTCAGCAATTTTTGTTTCTGGACGAAAAATGTCAGAAAATTCCAAAATTGAAGGCTAATATCCACGTTTTTTGAGAAATTTTGGAGGTTTCGGGGCCCGGTGTCAAAAAGTCTTGAAATTCTATGGGATACATTTCGGGGTCATATAATTCCGTTTGGAACCATATATGATCATTATTTGTTGTCATAAATGTTCGTGGTAGGCTTAGGTTAATGAAATTTGTGCAAGTTGTAAACCGGTAATTAAATTGGCTGTTTAAAGGCAAATTGGATGGTTCCACCAACCCAATTGGACTCCCGGAGGGTATTATGGATGTAATACCCCGTATTTTTAATGTATTTTATAAATTATTTATTTAGTTATAAAATATATTTTTGGTCAAACTATTTTAATTATTGGATTATAAATAAAGCAAGTATTTATATTTGGGTCAATAAGTATTTAATCCAAACGTAGCCCATCTTTATTATGAACCCAATCATCCTATTTTTACTTTTGGGCCACCTATTTCATCATTTAAGTCCATTATTTTTATGAAACCCAAACATACCCTAACCTACTCTACACTATAAATACTCCATTTATCCCCAAAATTTTCCCACACAAAGTCAACAAGTTAAAAGGTTAGTTTCTCCTTATTTTTCCTTTTCTTTTCCCTTTTCCTTTTTCCTTTTTCTTTCTTTTTCCTTCTTTTTCCCTTCCATTTTTTTTTCTCTTGTTCCCCTTACGTGAAGTCCATGGGTGGGTTCCATGAACCCACTGCCAAGTCACCCTCCAGCCGCCGGACCACCTTGTCGGACGATCACCTTCCGTCGACCACCAGCAGCCGGCGGCTGTAGCCACCCCAACAACCATCGGTGGTCTTCCTCCATTCTCTCTCCTCTTGTTTTAATTATTGTTCTAACTATTTATAATTTTGGTTTTTGATTTTAATTGTTTAAATATTATTAGTATGTTTGGTAATTATATTTTAATATAATGATTAAAGATGATAAATTTTAGATTATAAAGTGTTAAATTTTCAGATTTTATGAAGTATTAAAAGTTAGGGTTTTAATTATTAAAGTGTTGATTTTTAGGGTTCTAACTTACAATTGATTTGGGGGTTTTATATACCCATTGATTGTAAGTGGTAATAAAGGTTAAAGATTGTATCTTTATGGAGTTTTAATGAAATTTTAGAGCATGTTTAATTAAACTAAATGTTTAATTTGGTTTGGAATATTGAAAAAGAATTTTATTATGTTTCATATAATTTTTATTGATGTTATAAGCATGAGGAAAGAGTTATATATGTGTCTATGTACACGAGGAATAAATTGTATGTTGGTGCCTTAGTGCACTTAAGGTGTTTTTAACACCGAGGGATAAGATTTGTGGCGCTTTATGCGTTTAAGGTGTCATTGGCACCGAGGTAGAATTAAAAAGGATTCAACATTAAATATTATGTGGTCACTAATTATTCAAGAATTAAATTGGTGTGTTTGATTGTTTGAATAATCATTGTTGATTGAATGATTATGGTTTGAGGTTCATCACTGAGTTTAATAATCTGTAAATAACGTAAAGTAAAAGAGATTACGCACCAAAACTCTTGGAACGTATATACCTCGAGTATGAACATATGGGGGGAGTTATGGGGTTTTGTATTTAACCATAACTTCTACTGGAGTACAGGACGCTGTACATTCCTTTTATTATTATTATGCGCAGGAATTCCGCCACCTATATGTGGTTTTTGATGCTGGCACGGTTAGCTCCCGTGTCAGTAACTTCAATTTATTGGGGGAGGTTAGTGGGAAACCCGTTCGATGCGTAATCAACGCTAAATAAATTATTTATTGTCTAGTGAGAATTTTTATTGAATGTGGTATGCTTGAAAAATAGGTGCAACAAGGTAAGTAGTGTGTTGATAGAGAATTGTATGCTAGTGTGTTAATTGCGCTTATGTACTCAGCTTTGCTGATTGAGTGTTTTGTGTGTTTATTGGCCCTATGATGACCCATTTTTAATGGAGAGTAGTGGAAATAGGTAGAGATAAGCTTTTCATGTGTTGAAGCATATTCATGAATGGGCATGAGTGAATAGCATATTATGCTAGTTTCCATAAGTATATGATGTGTTTATCGCTTTAACTATTTATGATAATATTACTATGCATGACTAACGAAAAGGGTTTTGAATTTGGTTTGGTTTTAATAAGGGCCTATAATGGTTCCAAGTTGTAGGTTGATTTTATTTGACTTTCGTTGACTTTACTTTCGTTTGGTTGATTTCTTAAGCTGACTTGTTTTTGAATGGTTTTGAAATTAGTCTTCCGCTGTGTGTCATTGATAATTGCCTTAGCCGTATTCACGGT